GTACTGCTTAGCTCAAAGGTTAAAGTTAACTACCACATGAAATTTTTAATGCAATATTATTAAGAGTGGCGAAAAAAAAACCCTAAAAATTTGGACACACATTTGATTAAATAACTTCTTAAAGTTGAATGGAACACCCCGTATTTAGTGGCGTAATTTGACGCAGAAGTAGATCTCCTTCAAAACTATATTAGGGTTCCCTTTACCTATCTCTTCTACTTTTTACACAAAAGGCGTTTTTATATTTTATTCATGAGTATTGTAATGAAAAGCTCAAAAGGCGTTTCAAAAACCTTTTTATTATAGAATACGTAGATTCGCTAAAAGCACAAGTTTGAATTTTTGAAAATAAGGTGTATCTTAGGTAAAATGCAGGCAAATGTAAAAACTCAAATTTATTGCCATTTCTAAAATATTAAAAAGCATTCTTCAAAAAAAGAAGATGCATGTGTCTAGGCAAAATGTGTTAAATTCGCTTGTTTCTTAGCAAATATATTAGACTTCATAGTGAAATATATACAAAAATTACAATATGGGGTCAATAAAAACATACATAAAATCTATTCTATTATTTTTTCAATAGCAATATTTAGCAATAGCCTCTGGCCTAGATGAAATTATTTATTATTATGAAACAAAAAGTGTTTGACAGTAACACAACTTGTTAATCAAACCATTATCATTGTTTTAACTAGTTTAAAATTATTGTCATTTTGAAATATTATGAAATGGGAACTTATTTCAGGAAGAAAGAATTGATGTGATTTTGATAATCGGTGAGTGTGAAGAAAACTGTTTATTATCGTCAAGAGTATATGCCTAAAGGTATCCTAACAGGAGTCATCCTAACAAGCGTTCATTAAAAAAGTTGTTGCAGCTTTTCCGAAGAACAGGAAAAACCAGTTACTGTAAATGAGAAAAATTACTATTTAGTGATGTTATCTCTGAATGAACGCCCTCACACAAGTCAACGAAGAATTTGTGAAACAACTGGAATAAGCAGAAAAGAGTATCCAAAGCATAATTAAAAATTACAAATTCCACCCGTATCGCATTCAATTACATTAACAGCTTTTTGAAGAAGATTATTATCGACGACTGAATTTTTGTTTATGGATTTCACAAAAGTTTGGTGATGAAAACATTTTCTTTGATTATGTGATTTTTTCCGATGAGCCAAC